TCCAATGTAAGACCCATTCAAAGGACCTATTTTGGGTCCGAGGTAAAAAGCGGTGGCCGGCACGAGGCGCAAAAATCTTGTGACGGTGCGGCGGTCGACGCGCCGTCGTTGTTGGCGCATGGAGGCGCGGGACGAGGAGCGCCTAGCCCTGGAGGTCGTCAAGTGGAGGTGGGTGCACCATCGTCGGCGTTGAGGTGGCATCTCCCACCACCACCACGGTGGCTACGGTGGTCGTGCCCGACATCCGGGCGGGAGGCGGGAGCGGAGGGGCTGCAGAGGCGCCCAAACACCAAATCCGTCGAGGAGGCCGAGCCGCCGCCAGCCGTGGAGAGGGAGGCGGGCCTGCGAGGAGAGGAGGAAGGGAAGATCTGGCGGTGGCGAGAGAGGAGGAAGGGAAGAGGACGCTCTGTTGCGCCCGATGGTTGGAGAACGGAGTTTATGGGTCACGGACCCTTTCACTGTGCGCGATGTAAACCGGTGAATGCGTCTTGCTTTTGGGTCCTCTTTGTTGGAGTCAGTCTTAGCAACTCTTCAATGGTGAGGATACGCATATACAAGTCATGTCAGATTGTCCCACGGTATGACGGCATGATTCAGTTGGTGGAACATAAGGGGCTCCAATTTTGATGGTTTCCATGCATCTTTCCTTAACTAAATCTTTCTCATGGTAACAATCCTGCTCACCCCATGCTTGGTGTGTTCCAAACATGGTAAACACTAAAGCAAAAACTACGAGTTGGAGGGTTACGCTTACAGCCATCATGAATTCTTAGAGGACCGATGTTACTTGGACAAACTGCTCTCTATGGTAGCCAACTAATCCGGACTAGTGGCCCTTCTGTATAACATGCTGCAAAACACACTTCTATTTATAGCATACGGGGAGTCGAGTCTAGATATACAAATTAATGCCAAAGAATCCACCAACTGGTACTATTGCATTAAATTGAGGTCGTCAGTTGATTGGAGTCGACTCAGATGGTAGGTTTTCCGTTTCGCATCGACAGGCACAGTTGGGCCCAAAGTGTTTTATGTCAAAGCCCTGAAAGCCCACTTCTCAGCGACCCAGCCACCCTAAGTGAAAAAAGTCCACGAAATCTCCCTCAATTTTCACAGAAATCCATTTTTTCTCCTGAACTCCAAAACCGGGCAAAACACCTCCCTTAACTTTTAAACCCGTTCATCTTACCTCCCTGACCATGTTATAAACAGTTTTAAAGACGGTTTTGTCTTTTTCTTTTTTATTTATTTCGGCTAAATCTTTAAAAAATAATAGTAAATTATAGAAAAATTATAAAATAAAAAATCCAATTTTATTGACCCTACGTGACTAAATCTACGCCGTGAACATATAGGGTCTGTTCGCTGGTTGATGCTGGTGTTGATTTGAACTGACTGGTGCTGATTTTTTTTAAGAGAAAATTACGATTAGCTGACTGGTTTGAGCTGGCTAAACCAAACAATCGAACGGGCTGATAATAGGTAACGTGGACTTCTTGCCCCCTCAGTCCCTCAGCGACTCTGGGCTCTGGCCTAGCCTCCACTCTCTCCCAGTCCCCAGGTCCTCATTCCTCATCCACCTCCTCTCTCTCTCTCTCGGTCTCCCCGGATCTCCCACCGAAACCCTACCCGAGCATCAGCCATGGCGATCGCCGCGCGCGTCCTGCGCCGCCTCCCGCTCCACCTCTCCCCCTCGCTCGCCCGCTCCTTCTGCTCAGTTTCCCCGGCCGCCGCCTCGGCCGCCCCGGCGTCCGCCAAGGTCGCCGACCGCATCGTGCGCGTCCTCGCCATCGATCCCGACGGGGCGCGTCGCGAGGTCGTCGGACTCTCGGGACAGACACTCCTCCGCGCGCTGGCCAACGCGGGGCTCATCGAGCCGGCCTCCCACCGCCTCGAGGAGATCGACGCGTGCTCCGCCGAGTGCGAGGTCCACATCGCGCAGGAGTGGCTCGACAAGCTGCCGCCACCGTCCTACGAGGAGCGGTACGTGCTCACGCGCGCGTCCAGGAACGGCGAGCTCAACAAGCACGCGCGCCTGGGCTGCCAGGTCGTCCTCGCGCCGGAGCTGAAGGGGATGGTCGTCGCTGTCCCCGAGCCTAAGCCGTGGGACACCCCATAATGGCCTGCCGCGACGAAATGCAAGGCAGATACGTGCGGCTTTTGACGCTGTGAGCCTCCCTTCATTCCCCTGGCTCGGTCAAGCTGTGCCATCCCCTTTTATGTTACGGATTTGATGAAGAATAATGATTGATGAGCAAACCTTGGCATTGGTTAACTTTTGTTCCTTTGAATGTGGAGTATATGAATGCTGTAATGTGGAATCCCTTTGCAATTACCGCAGTTTAATGTTTCATGGTTTGAAGTTTTGTACATTGTGATGAATGGTTGATCTAGTCTTTTCATTTCCATCTTCAGAAGAAAATGCTGAACAATAGTAGAATACGAAAATTGGTCTAATATAAGCATGTGCCTAAATGATTTTCTATAATCTTTCAGAGTTCTTGATGTACCTGCAAGATACTACGTATATGTGTAGAGTAAACTCAATAAATCATAGTTCTGAAACTGAAAATCTTTTGATGTCCTTGGTGCTGGTTTATCTGTGATCTAACTCTTATTGGCTGTTACCGTCAACCGTATTAATGTTTCAAAATGTTTAGTCTACAAGATCCAGCAGACTGGTCTTATTTAACAGGATTGCGTAGGCATTTTGTTTAGCATATTATGTAATGCGCTAATACTAATTAGAGGAGGCTAAGTTAACTTTCAACTAGAATCGTTTGCCTGTCTTTCTAATTTGGTTTTACAGTTGGTGAAAGAACTTGCTTGTGGCAATTGATCATGTTCTTTTAGATATTCGAGGTTGGGCTGCTGTTTATCGTTATATTCAAGATCACTTTGGCCCCATTTCCTTCATTGCAATGGCATGTTATCACACATTCTCTGTAAGGAAGGTCAACATTGCAGGATCATACTTTTGGATCTTTCTTTTCCTTAGTCTTTGGTTGTGCAACCTTCCTTGACACGAATTCCCCCATTCAAATGTGTGTTTAGAGCTTTGGAGGTTGGAACTTGTATTGCCATGATGTTGTTCTGTCCACGGAACTTCAAATAGTTGTCACTGAGTGTGTTTTGCTCGCCACCTCAATTGAAATCAATTCTTTGAATGTCGAAAAGAGTTGTTGTTTTTCATGGAGCTCTGACGTGATTTGAAGAACATCTCTGAGTGCCTGGAGGTTGAAGATGACAAATAAGACTGAGAGGTTTGAGCTTTATCAGCCTCGAATGTGGAACATGGTCTTAGTGCACGTTCGGGGAACTTTGTTCCTAACGAGGAATAGGAATATCGTGGAACATCGTTCCAAATGCAGTGGGAAATGATCCAAATCAAAGAAAGGTATGAAATGGAGGAACCAAACCTTTCCCATGATCCAAATCAAGGGTACGAAGTGGAGGAACCAAACCTGTACTCATGCATTTAGATTCTGTACCATGTTTTGTTTATGTAAATGCTGTATAGATAATAGATGAATTACCAAGGAACAATGCAAATAGGTGTACCCCTTCCGCCCTTCATACAAATAGGTTTACCCCTTCTGCCCTTCATACCATGGTTTTTAAAAGCAACGTCCCACATTCCCCATCGTCGTTCCTCAACCCCATCGTTTCAGGAACCTGGCCGTTAAGGTTTTAATTGTCTATACTGCCTGTTTCCTGAAGAGCAGTGGGTTCACGCTAGCTATATACTGTGTAGTATTACTACATTATTAGTTAATTGTATTCTTTTTTATTCAGTTCAGGTGATTGATCGCTTTAATCTCGGCGACTAGATAAACGAAAATTTCTTTTTCTTTCCGGATGGAGCAGAACAGCAGATTCCATGAAACTTGTACCCCTAGGCTATAATGGCTAGCAAAATCCTGAATCCTGAATATATACAAGACAGAACTCAGAAGGTCGGGTCATCCATCCACATGGGAACGTCATCTTCATTTGAACCTTTCCAGAGGTGAATTTAGAGGTGTTGGTCGGAGTCCGTCAATTCCGACGAAATTGTAAATCTTTGTAAAATACTTGAATTTAAGAAAATCTATGTCATATAACGAAATTGACCCTAATGATATTCTCGGCTTTCTCCCTTATACCCTTACCTTTCATTTCTCTTTGTAAGAGGAAAACGGTTCCCTTACCTTTCAGTGTGTACTGCGCCTGCGCTTCATCGGTAGCAAATGGACTGCTGAGTTTTTTTTTTTTTAAAAAGGACTGCTCTGCAACCTCCATATTAAGCTGCAACCACACCTGTCTAACATGCTTTCATTTGAGGAGATGATCATTCGAGTTACTTCATACTCGATCAAGAGATTATCTCTAGCGATCAGTTGACATGTTACTATCCTTTCCAACAACGGCAGGGTGACAACTACAGTTCAGTGGCACATACAAAAACTTATAAATTACAATGGCATTGAACAAATTTTCTCGCGGGTATAAAACCGGTTGGTGGCTCCAATCAAGAGCGAAACCATCGGCAATTGTCCATCCTAAAACCACAGATTTTGTATTATCAAGTGTACAATAAAAGTCTATTTACACAATATTCACTTTTAAATAATATAAGCATTGATAAAGGTTGTGCCACAGAATTATTGAAAATCAAAGCAAACGGTTACGACTCTAGTGGACGTGATTATGGGTCTCATGCAGGCTCGCATGGCAATTGTAATATATACTTAACAAACCCACCTTTATTAAAGCTTACATGTGATTATGTGAAATATTCAAACATTGGTTGCACAAGGTGTAATTTGGAACAGTAACACTGATAAACTTTACTAACCAAAATCGTTACAAGTATTGCTTTCAGTCACAGTGAAGGTAGCCCACACACTCTGTCCGCTCTGGTTGGGTTTGCATCATGCAGATCCAATGAAACTCTAAATCATGTTTATCTCGCTGAGTCCGGCCCAACGAGGACAAGAAGGGGGTGAACCCATGTGAAGTCAGGAGATCTGAGAAAGAGTGGCCTTGAACCAAGACCAATAATTTACCCGCAGGGGATCACATTTCTGCAGGATACAGCAAACAACGGTTGCAGGATCAGCATCTGCGGTTTCAGGATGGGAGCTCCTTATCGGTTCAAGAGTGGATTTAAGTTCATCTGAAAGCTGCAAACCAGTGCAGAGAAGATCGAGCAGCAAACTCAAAGCAAATACACAAGTCCAATCATTCTTCAGGACCTTGAAACAAACACCAGAGATGCGCTCGTCATCTACTAGCAAGTTATTCTCACCCTTGTATAGACCCTTGAGGTATCTCCAGGGGCTTTCATTCTGAGGGTTTGCTAGAATAGCTTCAATTGTGTAGTCTACTTCTGAATCACGCACCACCGTAAGGCCACCAAGAAGCGGTGATCTTGTTATAACGAAGTATCTCTGTTGGAAAACAAGTTAAACATACTTCAGTGCAAGCTAAATAGCTGATCCCAATTAGTCAGCAGAAAAACACTTAGGAAGCAGCACAGGACACAGCAGAATGTAACAGGCAATATGAATGTCAAGAATAGTCATACAATCAACTTTGCCCAGATTTGACCGATAGGTACATAAAGCTACCTGTGTTGGTTACATGAACATGGTACAAACAAATTGCTTATATACATTTTTTTTACAAATAACAGAGAAAATGTTTACATAGGCGACTGTGTAATTTCTATAATGCCATAGACTTTAAAATACAGGAAGTAAATCAGAACAAGTGTATTGTTATCCAGACTAATTGGATGAAATTAACATGGGATGATCTACGAACTAAAATAATGAAAATAATGTAAGTTAAATTGCATAAAACTAGAAAAAAATTCTCAAACATGCAGGAAAAACAAGAAAATTTTAAGAGGCAAAGAGAGGCAAAGAATAGAGCATGACCTGATTCCAAGCTGAATTGTTGAAGACATCTTCCTTAAGTAGCTGGTTGCAGTACTCCAATTCAGTCTCCCATCCCCCCAACGCTTGAAGAACCCACTACAACAATTGTAATTAAGCAATCCCGTTAGTAGAAGAAAGATTTTACTGATACTCAGCTTAGCTTGGTACCCAAATTTGGAAATTTAGAATTCAGCAAATGGGTACACTTACCTGTCTATGAGACCAAGCATGGTAATTTTTTGCATCAATAGCAAGTATCTTCATTGTGAATTCATGCTCTTTGTTTGCAATATCAGGTCCCAATTTCTCAGCAAGCCATCTCTTATGATGCCTGGTAATAAAATTGGACCCTGGAGGGTTAGTCATGATTTCCAGAGCAAAGAAAAAAGATGAACAAAGTTAAAAACTATGGAAGATATTTAGTCAAGATATTGCCAATTGTTCATGCAAAACCTCCAGACACCAAAGAGAAGTTAGTTTCTGTGAATTACTAAATGTGAAAAAAGATTTGTATAATGAAACTTACCAGATTTGGTAATTTTTTGGATTACATTCAGCAATTTTTCCGACAAATTTCATCTCCTCCAGTAAATCAAAATCTAGTGCCTCCAGAATAAGGCGCCGGAAATGCCAAACCTATCAAGTAGACAATTATTCTGTAATGTCAAAAAAGTTACCAACAAATTAAAGGCTTTGTTGTTGTTGTTGTTGTCAAAAAAGTTACCAACAAAAGAATTGACTGGTCTAAAAACGAAATACATGATACAAACTAAAACAACATGGTAATAAGCTAGAAACAGCATAAAAAGTAATTCTCTGATACTACACAGCATGAGTGCTGTTCAAGAATTATGTAGCATACTGCATGAAGCATAACACAGGGAGAAAATTATGCCCAAGCAGTATGCCTTTGCCTTCTACAAAAATCATGGAGTATGATAAAGTATTCTGTATGATTGAATGACAGACAGTGTCAACATGAGAGTACAAACTTTCTAAAGCTGCAACCGCCTACAGGCTATACTGGGTAGTTTACATGGAAAATTTCAACTTTCTAAAACTGGCTCCAAGTCCACTGCTTTTTTCTACTTCTGTAGCCGTGTTGCATACTCATAATTGAACAAAACGAGTAGTGGATAACAAATTGTTGCCATTGTAGTCATTCAAGCTCATCACTAACACTTGGTTTCAAGTCAAAATTGAAACTAAATGGTTGAACCTCCATATTAAAAGTAGTATATTTTCCCTTAAAAAACCATTCTTACTTGACCATAGAAACTTTAAGTTTCAAATAACCCCATAAAAATAAAGTAGGCCAAGAAAAAAGGATGAGGGGAATTCTCACGGTGTAGTTGCCGGGGTTGAGCTCGATGGCCTCGGCGGTGAGGCGGAGAGCACGGGGGCTTCGCTCACCAGTGACGTAAAGGGCACGGAAGTAATCCATGACCTCACGGAAGTCATCTCGGTAGGCGATGGGCACCACGGGGCTAGGTCCGTCGTCATGCGGCACTGGCACCACGTCGGCCAGTTCTGGCCAACTGCTGGGGCCTGACTTAGCGTGCTCCATGGGCGATGAGTCCAGCTGACCACCAGGGTTGGACCCAGTAAAGGACTGATGATTTTTGCCAAAAAAAGGAAGTTAGTAGGCATAATACTACATGTATACTACACCTGTAATTAGATCAGATCCAAATACAAATAGCTTAAGTAATTTTGCTATTCAAATCTACAAACAGAAAAGTCAGCAGCAAGATAAGTGAAAAAACACAAAGGACCTAACAATAATGTTGCCTAACAATTGTTCAAGCACACTATTATTATACTTGAATCATTCTGTCCTTTTCAGTTTGGCAGGTTAATTTGTTATTTTCCACATCAACATAGTGTGGCGGTTGCAGCCACAAGATTCATTTTGGTATCAACACAGATCAATAAAGATTCAGTTTTCAGACATCAACACACATCACACAGAGATTCAAACTTAAGGTAACAGGGGCGGACTCAATAAAGGACATGAGTGTACACATGTACACCCAATAATTTTTGCAAAGCAATCGAAGTTAGTACGCATAATACATGCATATCTTTTACTATACGAATCCTGCCCCAATCTCCCTGGCCTCTTATTTTGCCACGTCGCCCGTTATTTTCCACTGTTTGATCTTTATCAGGCCGTCAAAGAAGCAAACACTGCAACTAAACTATTCCAGAGCCTTCGTTCAATTGTTCCAAGCACGACTGTCTCTGTCCCCGCGTCAGGCGCCGCCTCCCGGGCAGTGGGCGCCCTCCCTCCTCCATCATTACTGCCGCGTCCTCCTACTCTCCTCTCCCGCACAAAACGAATCCACTGTTTGTCCCCAGCTCGCGGAACTTAAGATCAAGGCGACGGCTGCGCCAAGCAAGAGCTGAACCTGAGGGTCCCATCTCCCTACGGTGCGTGGAATGCCGGTGTACCACTACCTGAAGCTCGCCAACGCATATGCCTTTGACGATGGCGATGTCGCTGCAGGCTGCACCACGGCTGCACAGCAACGGCGTTGTGCTGACGGAAGGCCAGCATGGGGTTGGCGATCGGATCCACCAGGGTACGGATCTCTACGGCGGCGGCTATTGACCCTCCAAGAACCCCTTCAGCTAATCGTCGTTATGTACACCTGCTGCAGAATGCAACCGCTCAAGAGATGCCCCTAGGATGTTCGATGAAATGCATGTTCGAGCGCTGTGATTTGGACATCCCTCCTTGTCTTTGCCTCTGCCTCAGCTGACACTGCTAAAGGTCATGCTGTGCTCAACCACCGGCATGAGTGTCTGCGACCACACCAAGCTTGCCACACTCTTTTAGTATTCCGTCACATGCTTTGTCGTGCATGTACTACAAGTAGGCTTAACCGACATGTAGATAAATTAACACTAATGAAACAAGAAGTTTTCTCATCTTATTATAGGCTCGAAATCTTCTGCTACTCGTCACTAGAATTTTTTGAATAGTTTACTTTACTGCTTGCTGGCATGCTACTTCCTTAGATTTCATAGCATACTACAATCTGAACTTTTTCTGTTTGGTTCAATACCTATGCTTGTCAAATTCACATGCTCATTAGTTATCCTGTGATAAATAAAGCACCTAAATATTCTGTCAATTTGAATATATCCTAATTTCCAGAGAAGTTTATTTGACCTGCTTGGTGACATGCTACTACTTCTTTAGATTTCTTATTAGGCTACATAATTTTGTGCTATAAGATTCCTTTTCTTTAGTCTCATGTTTGTAAAATTTATGATTATAATGGCTCCTGTAAGATCTAAAAAATATTTATAATACTGTAAATGTAATAAGGATTTCAAAAAATCACAGCTGAGTTATATAGCTTTGTTCATGAAATGTCTTTCCTATTCATGCATGCTCAGGGTTGATATTACTTGCTTTTCTGAATTCATTTCCCCCCTATTGCAAGGTCCTAACTATAGAGCTTTATCTTGTATTATTATTTTGGGTACGGTGTTGTTATTTGATGAACCATGACCTTCGAACAACACAATTATTCAATTGTAGGCCAACGTTTATTATCTTCCTTCTCTTTCACTTTGTTCTTTTCAGATTTAAAAGGTACAAATAAGAAAAGCATTCAGATAGTTTGACAAGGTAAGAGAATATTATTGGGGAACATTGCTTGTTAGATAGATTTCAGTTTTGTTATCATATTTGGAAGACACATCCATGGAAGAGAGGATACAGATGGATTTCAATTACAAGATAATAAAGAATTAATAGTTATTAAAATTTTAAATTTAGAAAGCACATCCAAGCAGCACAAAAGTATTATGATGCTTGTTGTTCTCCCGTGTCAAACCCAAAACAATGAGCATGACAGTATGAAGAAGATGAAATGTGTAATGACATTTTTAAGATGAATACAATAAATCAAGAATTACTATTGCTGCTTACGTACATCTATTAAAAATAGTGACGAATCTGCATATTAAAGAGAGAATAGTATATTGGGTTAGTAATCCATTTGGATCACAAGGTATATATGATGAGTTGCCCAGCTTCAGTATGGGCGCGGCAAAGCCGCGCCTGTGTTTCTAGTGCACTTGAAATTAGATTCAGATCCGATTACGAATAGCATGTTAGGGTTTGGGCGCACGGTTTCGCGCAGCAGGAAGGGAAGACCAAGGAGAGGCCGTACCTACGAATTACGTTAAGGTCTGGGCGCATGGCTTCGGACAGCAGGAAGGGAAGACCAAGGGGAGGGAATGCCTGGTGGTGCTCGTCGCCGGCGAAGGTGGCGGGTGGCGAAGTAGGACAGCAGCGATGGCCGGCCCAGTCGTTGGTGAGTGGGGGGTTGCGCGCATGCTTAGGGTGATGGAAGAAGACAAGGCAGAGTAGGGTTGCAGCATACAGCTACAAGCGGATTGGGTGCGTAATGACATTTTTAGAGCGAGGACCGATCTGAGGCTGGAGCAGAATCAAGCAGACGGAGAGGGACCGAGAGGGACGAGCTGTTGGCGTGGGAAGCAGAGAGAAGATAGTGGCGCTGTGCGGAGGGAGACCTACCTGTGGAGCTGTGTGCCGGCCGCGCCGGAGCCGGTTGCGGGGACACCGGCGCTGCAGAGGGCGGACGCCGCGCCGGAGCTGGTCGCGAGGACGCTGGGCCCCAGGTGGTGCTCGACCGAACGTGGTCTCTTCTCCGGGTTGCGGCGCGGCGAGCGGAGGGAGGAGATCGGCCGCGAGCGAGACGAGTTGAGGCGGCCCTCTGCGGATGGATCGGGAGGAGGAACTAACGCTGTTTGGAAGGTCGGAATTTCGCAGGAATCGGGCAGAAAGAATTAGTTTAATTTTACCGAAAAAATAGAAATATTTCTCCCATTCCAAACAGGTCTAGGATGAACTGACTGAGGAGAGAGAAAAATAAATAAAAAGACTCAGAAAGATGGACTCACATACCTGGTGTGCCATCCTCCGTTTGGAGTTTGGAACGTAGAAATTTCGCATAAATTTGATAGAAACCAGTTCAATTTCATATAGAAAATGTAGAAATGAGAAAAAATTTCCACGTTCTAGGGTCTAGTAGTAGTAGTAGTAGTAGTAATAATAATAAATACATCTTAGAACTAAAGCCATGAGATACTAAGAAAGAACTTGCAGAGTAAAAGGCATTTTATTTATATGGACGATTCATCACAGGTTCAAGCCCTATTTGGAATAGAGATTTTTTTCTCTGTGAAATTGAATTGATCCACGTAAAATTCCAATATAAGTCCTGAAAAATTCCTACGCTCCGACGGGCCTTAGACTCTATAGCCATTTGACTCCGGATAGTAAGGTCAAAGCGTCCCGAAACAATGAGATTATGGGAACATAAGCATGTAGGTTGATAGAATACCATAAGACTTGCTTAATCAGATTGAGTAATACCCATTGATAGATTTCTCTTGATGAACAGAGTAAGGAGCTCATCTCAACAGAAATTAAAACAACACAGGCCAGAAAAAAGAAGTATTCTACGTAGCCACAGGCTCCAGGCTCTAGGATCCACCGCTCCCCAGGGCCCTCTGTTCCTTGCTAATATCAGAGTTACATTACACCATAAAAATATGTTAATGAGGTGTTTTAGACACAGTAGTTTTGATAATTTGGCCAAAAGGAAACAATTTGTTGCAACATTTGAACGGATATATAACATGAACAGAACAAATTAAGCTACGGGAAGGATTGCATCTCATAGAAACGATATTCCTGAAAACAGATGGAGCTATTTCAGACGGGATTTCAGTTTAAGAGTCGATCAAGATGACGGAGACATGTGATGCATATTGGGTGCCGTGAAATTATGGAATGGCAGAGAGGGAGCTACAGCCTCTGTCTTGGATCCAAAGGGGTTAGGCATGGACCTGTGGAGTGTGTTTGTCCTTAGGAGGGAGAAAGGAAGGTAGCACAGAATCATGAAGATAACGTGGAGTAGTTGTCAGTGTCCTCAAGAACGATGGAAGAGTTGGCACTCGATTCCAAAATCAAGCGAGATTATTGGCAGCATATAGTATAATGTGATGTTCCACGATTCTTTGAGTATAGTACTCGTGAGACGCCCTTTAGCGCTAATCATGGAGTTCAAGCACTCGGACCATAGCGCAGTGCCGCCAACTCGTTCATACACACGGCATGCATTTATGATTCTTTACTGGGTTATTAATTTCTTTGCTAGGCCAGACAGCCGCATGCATGTGTGTGATGGAGATGGAAGGTGGATGTGTGGTGTAGGTTACTGCCGATGCAATGTTTTTTTTCTTATTCTTATTTTTTTTATTTTGTATTTTATTTACACCTTCTATTTATATCGTATTTTGCATTTATTTTTTATTTTTTCATTTCATTTTCTTTTTTATTTTTTCCTTCTTTTTCCTATTTTTTCTTCTGGATTTATGTGGGTTATATTGATATCAAAATATTTGGCTTTGCATAACTATAAAAATTTTATGTATTTATGACGTGTCTTCGACATTTGTGTGTTACACACGTACCAAAATATTTGACTTTACTTAACCAAAAATATTGTGCCTATGTGA